CTGCAAAGCTCAGGGACACCCTGGCACAGAGCGGACAGAAAACAGTTAGCAAAAGGCCCAGTCAGCTGGCCAGAGTTCCAGCTCTCTAGATGCTGCTGACTAGCGGGGGATCCTGCAGATGTCACATCAAATTCTCATCATTGTTAGGTTGGGCGTGGTGGCTCACGCCTGTAATCCTAGCACTTTGGGAGGCCAAGGAGGGCAGACTGCCTGAGCTCAGGAGTTCGAGACCAGCCTGGGCAACACGGTAAAACCCTGTCTCTATTAAAATACAAAAGGTTAGCTGGGTATGATGGCATGCACCTGTAGTCCCAGCTACTTGGGAGGCTGAGGCAGGAGAATTGCTTGAACCCAGAAGGTGAAGGTTACAGTGGGCTGAGATAGTGCCACTGCACTTCAGCCTGGGCAAGAGTGAGGCTCCGTCTTCAAAAAAAAAAAAAAAAAAATTCTCATCACTGTTCAGGGAAAACGGTCATTCTGAGACACAAGCATAAACTGATGCCACTTTTCTGGGTGACAGGTAAAAAAAATTAAAAGCAGAAGGCCTGGAAAAGAGACCCTCAAGCCTAAGCAAGAGCAAAGTGGCAAAGGAGTTCTTGTTATTGTTTTATTTTTAAAATACAATCCAGAAACAGGGCTGGGCACGATGGCTCACGCCTATAATCCCAGCACTTTGGGAGGCCAAGGCAGGCGGATCACTTGAGGTCAGAAGTTTGAGACCAGTCTGGCCAACATGGAGAAACCTCATCTTGACTAAAAATACAAAAATTAGCCTGGTGTGGTGGTGTGCACCTGTAATCCCAGCTACTCGAGAGGCCGAGGAAGAAGAGTCATTTGAACCCAAGAGGTGGAGGTTGCAGTGAGCTGAGATTGTGTCACTGCATTCCAACCTGAGCAACAGAGCAAGACTTTGTCTCAGTAAGTAAGTAAGTAAGTAAGTAAATAAATAAATAAATAAATAAAACAATTCAGAAACCAGTCCTTCGGTTTAAGTCTGTGAGAATCAGGGTAATATCAAGGAGAGGGAAGATGTCAAGCTGCTACAGGCAAGGTTCCTGGGATACCTGCAATGGCCATCAAGGGGGGCCACATGCACTGCAACCAATCTGACAGGTTTTCAATGTAGACGTGGTCTGTTTTGGGAAAGCTGCCTTCTAGAACACTAAACAACAAAAAGAGGCCAGGCGCTGTGGCTTACGCCTGTAACTCTAGTACTCTGGGAGGCCAAGGTGAGTGAACTGCCTGTGCTCAGGCGTTTGAGACCAGCCTGAGTAACATAGAGAGACCCCATCTCTACTAAAAATACAAAAAACCCAGGTATGGTGGTGTATGCCTGTAATCCCAGCTGCTCGGGAGGCTGAGGCATGAGAATCACTTGAACCCAGGAGGCAGAGCTGCAGAGACTGCACCACTGCACTCTAGCCTGGGCGACACAGTGAGACTTGTCTCCAAAAAAAACCAAAACCAAACAAACAAAAAAACAACAAGGCTATGTTTGGTTTTGAAGCTTCCACTGTTCAGCAGAAATACACAGGGGTAACAAAAACTTAAAACCCTCTAGGATAGTGGCAAGCAGTCTTTTGGTATCTGAACCATTTTTAAGATTATTAAAGCGGGGGAAGAGGAAGGTTAGAATTAATACAGTATGTACTTTGTAAACAGAATTTTCTTTCCCCCCTGAGACAGTCTCTCTCTGTTGCCCAGGGTGGAGTGTAGTGGTGCCATCTTAGCTCACTACAACCTCTGCCTCCTGGGTTCCAGCAATTCTCATGCCCCAGCCTCCCAAGTAGCTGGAATTACAGGCCCAAGCTATCATGCTTGGCTAATTTTTGCATTTTTATTAGAAGTGGGGTTTCACCATGTTGCCCAGGTTGGTCTCAAACTCCTGGCCTCAAGTGATTCACCCACCTTACTCTCCCCTAGGATTTCAGGTATCAACCACTGTTCCTGGCCTATAAATGGAAATATTTATACACTTATAAAAGATTAGAACAGTCATCCACTGAAATAATAGAAGTTATCCCTGAGTGGTGGAATAATGGGTGACTTTTTTACCCACCTTTCCTATGTTCTGGAACTTCCGTATTAAGTATATAAATAACTTAATAGGCCAATCAGGAATAAAGCTATAAATTTAACACAAACAAGAGAATGAATCCAACAATTTTTCTTTGGTGCCGGATTGTCAGAGACTGAAGAAAAGAGCATTAAACCTGGGCCTTTCCCTCCTTGCTGGACCCTGAATCCCTGAGAACCTGGCCGATGCCTCCAGGCCCCTGCCCTGCCCTGCCTGCTCTTCCTCACCTGCTGCTGCTCTGGTGTCCAGCCACCACCTCTCTACCTAAAAGTGCTATCCAAGGTTCCTCAGAACTCCCAAACTACCTCTCTCTACAAAGCATCTTACCTGACCCCTTGTCCCTAACATTAAAAGCCACTGGCCAAAACCCTCCTTATGAACAAAATTCAAAAAAGGTAACTTCTCTTAGAACAGAGTATAAAATGGGGATTACAGAAAGATAAGGAGCATTTATTTCAACAGTTAAAAGGCAATTATGCTAGGCCAGGCGCAGTGGTTCACGCCTGTTATTACAGCACTTTGGGAGGTCAAGGTGGGCAGATCACTTGAAGTCAGGAGTTGAGACCAGCCTGGCCAACATGGTGAAACCCTGTTTCTACTAAAAATGAAAAAAAAAAGAAAAAATTAGCTGGCATGGTGATGAACACCCGTAATACTAGCTACTCAGGAGGCTGAGGCAGGAGGATCGCTTGAACCTGGGAAGCAGAGGTTGCAGTGAGCTGAGATCCCACCACTGTACTCCAGCGTGGGCTACAGAATGTGACTCCATTTTTTTTTTTTTTAAAGCCAATTATGCTAAATGCAATGCAGTATCCTGGTTTGGATCCTGGAAGAGAAATAGGACACCAGTGGAAAACTAATCCAAACAAAAGTGTACAATTTCGATAACAGTATGTGGCTGATATTATTATCTTTTTTGTGAGATGCAGTCTCACCACATTGCCCAGGCTGGCCTCAAACTCCTGGAGTCAAGTGATCCTTCCTCCTGCCTCAACCTCCTGAGTAGCTGGGATTACAGGCACAAAATTTACCATTTTAACAATTTTTAAACAAACAGTCCAGTGGCATTAAGTACCACTGTGCCTGCTTCAGTGTTAATTTTTTACTTTTGACAAGTAGATATCATGACATGTAAGATGTGAACATTACGGAAAGCTGGGTGAAGGGGATATGAGGTTCACCCCTCCTTTCTGTGTGATCTTTGAAATGGTTCTATAAATCTAAAAAAATGTTTGTTTAGAAACTGTAATCATGAGGGCATGAAATAGGACAGCAGTAAGAAATAAAGGAAGATGGGGGACAGGCTAAATCCACACTTCAAAGGGAGGTGTTTCTGGTTGCCTGGATGCTTCCAGGCATCTCACTTGCAATGTGTTCAAAAAGGAATCTCCCTCCACATCCCTCTGTCCACACTGCTATTACTGGCAGGACCAGCCACCTGGCCATGCTCATGAGAAGCTTGAATCTCTGCCATGCTTCCCCTTCTTACTGCCTTTTTGTAGGGGACCACATGTCTACATCTACTGCTTTTAAAAAAGGTTTTTCTACAAGCGATAAAACTTAATGGTTTGAGGGTACTGTTTAATAGAGACAGAGTTTCAGTGGGGGATGATGAAAAGTTCTGGGGGTGGACGGTAGGGATGGTTGCACAACAATGTGAATGTACTTAATGCCATTGAATTTAAAATGGTTAAAATGGCAAATTCTGTTATGCATATTTTACCACAATTTAAAAAAAAAAACTTAAAGGCTCCTGGTCTCTCTTCTGATCACCTTAAAGGCCTGGCACACTATCGTCCCCATTCCTGTTCTCTCTCCCACCTCCCCCAATCCACCTGGGCTCAGTTATACACGCCAGGCTGTGGAATGCATGCTTTACCTGTTATTCCTCAAAAGTCCTTCACACCTTTGCATCCCATCTGAGAAACCTTCTCCAACCACCTCACCTTCCCCTCTGCCTCACAACTCTAATATAAAGCTTTATTACTGTTCTCTTAGATTCAATAGATTTCAGATTTTACTGGGAGGTTAGGTAATAAGTCAAATTGAACTTCATTAAAATTATCCTTGAAAAATCCCTTAAATCCAACAGTAAGTCCAACATACCCAGTGTTTCCTCTTGCACTGGAACAGATCACTGCTTCTTCCACTGAATATGGAATAAAGACATTTGTTCCCACTTAGGGGTCATTTTGTGCGAGAAGTCAGCACTTCCAGCACTCCACGCCATGCATGCATAGGCAATGCCATGCACAAGGAGGGCACAGAGGACACAACTCACCTGCCCCATAAAATCCTCCTAACTGACCTCCAGGCTTCCTAGCTCCCCACACTCCACCTTGTAAACTGCCACCAAATCACCCATTGCAAACTCTGACATGAGTCCCCTTGTAAAAAACAAATCCCAACTCCTGAGTCTGTCATCCAAAGGCCTGCACACACACAGCAAGCATGACACCAGTGGCCTTTCCCAGGGGCAGATGACGGCATGGGGCGGGGGGGGGGCACTGCCCGGCGTTAGCCCAAGCCTTTCTGCTCACTGCCGTAAGCTCTCCTCACCCGAAGTAATAATGCCTACTTTATGGGGTCTTCCAGTGACTGTGCCTAGATTGTGGCAGGTGCCAACAAACCTTCACTGTTATCACTTTTTAAAAAATTAATTAATTTTTTTTAGAGACAGTGTTTCACTATGTTGCCCAGGCTGGAGTGCAATGGCTATTCACAGGCGCAATCCCACTACTGATCAGCACGGGAGTTTTGACCTGCTCTATTTCCAACCTAGGCCTGTTCACCCCTTCTTAGGCAACCTGGTGATACCCCACTCCCAGAAGGTCACCATACTGATGCTGAACTTAGTGTGGACACTGATGGGCATAGTGCACTACAGCCCAGAACTCCTGGGCTCAAGCGATCCTCCACCTCAGCCTCCCAAGTAGCTGGGACTACAGGCCTGGCCACTGTTATCATCATTTACAGTTACGTCCAGCCTCACCTGCCAGCGCTCTGTCTTCCACCCCACCTCTAGCTCAACGATCCTCAAAATATGGCCCAGGGATCCCTGAAACCCTTGGAGGTTCAAAGTCAAAATGTTTCTGTAACAAGACTAAGACATTATTTTTTGTTTTTTTTCATCCTCTCAAAAGTCTGCAGCGGAATTTTCCAGAGGCTACATGAGGTGTGATGCCATCACTGCTCTGATGGCTAATAGAATGTATGCCCGGGTATTCTTGGGTTTTTAAGTTTGTTTTCTTATATGGTAAATGTTACTAGAAACAACCCATATAAGTAAAAGCTCACAAAGCTAAAAAAACTATTGGGGTCCTCAATACTTTTAAGTTAAAGGAATTCGGCCAGGCGCAGTGGCTCAGGCCTATAATCGCAGCACTTTAGGAGGCCAAGGCAGGCAGATCACAAGGTTAGGGGTTCGAGACCAGCTTGGCCAACATGGTGAAACCCTGTCTCTACTAAAAATACAAAAATTAGCCAGGCATGGTGGCAAGTGCCTGTAATCCCAGCTACTTGGGAGACTGAGGCAGGAGAATTGCTTGAACCTGGGAGGTGGAGGTTGCAGTGAGCTGAGATCATGCCACTATACTCTGGCCTGAGAAAAAAAAGAAAACCCCATACAAAAAAAAAAAAAAAAAAAAAAAAAAAAAAAGTTAAAGGAGTTCTGAGGCCTAAGTCTGAAACCACTGAAGTGAACTTCCTGCCTCTCTTGCCTTTGTGCACACTGGACTTCCCACCCAGGATGCTCTGCCCTCCATCGCTGCTATTCCAAGCTCTTATCTTTCAAGGGTGAACTCAAAAGCCACCTCCATGACAGCATCTCCTAATGCTCCCCACCACATCCCTCAGCATCTTAACTGTGTCCTGCACATGGAACTAGGTCTTGCTCCCTTATGTGCACCATTCACTCACTGATTCCACTCATTTGCATGTGTGGAATCTGCCATTTCCCAAGTGCTCACTAAACAAATCTCACCAAGGACCTACTTTGGGCCAGTCACTGAGGACACAGCAGTGACGAAGATGCTTCTGTGCTTCTCTTGCCTTCTGGCTGGGGACAGTAAACAAGACATGAAGTAGTATAATCTCAGGTAATGCTAGGTGCTATGAGGGAAAAAAGCTGAGTAGGGGATCAGAACGATGGTTCCCTCTCCTACCCAAATTTCTAAAGCAGTGCTACCCAATCCAGTAGCCATGATGGTAAAAACAGCATACAGTCTCTTTCTAGTACTTCTCAGATGAATTATATGTTGACATAATATTTTGAAAACATTGAGTTAAGTAAAAGCTATGAAAATTAATTTCATCTTTTAATTTTTTTTATTTTTTTAAATTTTGAGATGGTGTCTTGCTCTGTTGCCTAGGCTGGAGTGTCATGATTATGACAGTGGGTGGCACGATCATGGCTCACTGTAGCTTCGACCTCCAGGACTCAAGCAATCCTCTCACCTTAGCCTCCTGAGTAGTTCGGACTACAGGTGTGAGCTACCACACCAAGATAATTTTTGTACTTTTTGAAGAGATAGGGTTTCACCATGTTGCCCAGGCTGGTCTCAAACTCCTGGCCTCAAGTGATCTGCCTGGCTTGGTCTCCCAAAGTGTTGGCATTATAGGTGTGAGCCACGATGCTTGGCCTCTGTCTACTTTTTTCAGCTGTGACTCACATTATATCTCTATTTCTCAGAATCCTTCTAGAGCAGAGGTGGGAAAACTATAGCCTGCAGGTCACGTCCAGCCTACTGCCTGTTTTTTTAAAAATAAAATGTTGGGCCGGGCGCGGTGGCTCAAGCCTGTAATCCCAGCACTTTGGGAGGCCGAGGCGGGTGGATCACGAGGTCAAGAGATCCAGACCATCCTGGTCAACATGGTGAAACCCCGTCTCTACTAAAAATACAAAAAATCAGCTGGGCATGGTGGCGCATGCCTGTAATCCCAGCTACTCAGGAGGCTGAGGCAGGAGAATTGCCTGAACCCAGGAGGCGGAGGTTGCGGTGAGCCGAGATCGCACCATTGCACTCCAGCCTGGGCAACAAGAGCGAAACTCCGTCTCAAAAAATAAAAAAAAAAAAAAATAAAAAAAAAAATAAATAAAATAAAATGTTATTGGAAGATGGCTACACCCACTCATTTGCTTACTGCCTCTGAATACTTTTGTGCTACAATGGCAAAGCTGAGTTGCCATGAAGACAGTATAGCCTGCAACACTAGGACATTTACCATCTGGCCCTTTACAGAAAGTTCTGCTGGCCCCTGATCTAGAGGGTAGGGCCTGTGTGGGGGTGCCTCTCTCCCCACAGCACCCAGCCCAGTGCAGGGGGCAGCCGTGCAGCCAGTGAAGAGAACTTGCACTTGGGCAGAACAAACTGGCCTAAGTTTGAATTTGGGTTGGCCTCTCACTTGCTGTGTGGCCTTTGTAATTTATAAGCTTTCTCTGGGTTTCAGTCTTTCCTTCTTTAAAATGGGGCACTAGCCACTTTAGGGGAAGTGAAATGACACAGGTGAAGTGTGAGTTAATATTGCCTGGCTCTCAGTAGGAATCCACTGACACTGGCTGGATAAAAGATAGCAATTTCATTAAAATGCTGAATAATCATTTTCCTCTTGGATTGGGTGTGTTACACTCACAACAATTATATTTTTATCCTAAAATAAAATGAAATCCAATGAAACTTCTTAGCAACAGCAGTGCATTAACAATAACTACCGGGCCGGGCGCGGTGACTCAAGCCTGTAATCCCAGCACTGTGGGAGGCCGAGGCGGGTGGATCACGAGGTCAAGAGATCGAGACCATCCTGGTCAACATGGTGAAACCCCGTCTCTACTAAAAATACAAAAAATTAGCTGGGCATGGTGGCGCGTGCCTGTAATCCCAGCGACTCAGGAGGCTGGGGCAGGAGAATTGCCTGAACCCGGGAGGCGGAGGTTGCGGTGAGCCGAGATCGCGCCATTGCACTCCAGCCTGGGTAACAAGAGCGAAACTCCGTCTCAAAAAAAAAAAAAAAACAATAACTACCAGCAAGCAATGCGGAGGGAGGAGGACGCAAGCCTTTCTAACACTAAGGCACCGGCGGATGATGAGGCTGCCTCATCCCTTTCCTGCCCCTCCTGCAGCCCACCTTTGGACAATTCCCAGTTCGTTAACACTAGCACTAGAAGAATAAGCAGAGGGGAGATAAAAGGCCTCAAATCAAAGACAAGCCCACTGACATCAACAAGGTTTGGAGGGGCCTATATCAGTGCAATTGAAAGGGCAGGCCCAGCCAACAGCGTCGATGTCACTGGGAGTTTGTTAGACACGCTTTCAGCCCAGTGGAATTAGGGCAATCTGTATCAGGAGATCCTAGGTGATGGTATGTGGCATTCACCTTGGAGAAGTGCTGGACTAGAATCCATTTATTCATGCTCTCTTCACTTCTCCCCCTCCACTGATAAACAGGGGTGGTTATAACTACTATCAATAGATGGTTCCTGACTTCTTCAAAGTAACAGGCCTGGTGTAGCCACTGCAACTCCAGGCCCTGTCCCCAAGGGTCTTGGTGCAGGCAGAGCGCACAGCCTAAGCTGCGTTCCTGGTTCATTTGCAGTCAGGTGGGCATTCTTTTTACAATAGAGAGCCTCGTTCATACTCTGCCGTCCTCCTAAGGTAAGGACAGGGTGCTAACAACCATTCAGGAAACCTACATGTGTGGAATCTGCCATTTGACAAGTGCTTTCGGCAGGGTTCTTATAGGGGAAACGCAGCCAGAAACAGCGCATTTTGACCACAGGTGACGCCGGCTCTAGCTAGCCCTAGCCTAGTCCACAATGCACTCAGTCTGCCTGGGGAGCCCCCTGACAGAAGTTGCTAAAATAGTAACTACAACATGGTATATTCTGACTAATCTGCTCTTCCTAGTACTAAGATGCCCGTCTGTCCCAGTCCTGGAGATAGTACTCTCAAAACAACCAAGCTTGGGCAATAAATTACTGTACATGGTCAATACACCTAGTAAGGGGGGTGGGAGATGAAGCGGTCTAGCAATGGGCCCATACAGCTCCAGCACAGACTACAAGGCATCCAGAAGAAGACTAAGAATACTATTTGTAGGTAAGTGGGAGGGAGCAAACTTTGGTCATTCATGAAGATCAAGAATCAACACGTGCATGATAGCACACAAGCTTTAGGATATGCTGTCTTTGTTTTTCAAGGAGCTTCCCAACCAGGAGAGGGAATGCGGGTGTCCTATGGGGCATCAGAGGAAGGGAAAAGCACAAGTGAATTGGACTGGCTGGAGTCAACTGAAGAGGCAGGAGATAAAGCAGGAAGCGTAGGTGAGGGGCCTTGAATGACAACCAAGGCATGATCAGAGGCTGGGTCCTGACACAATCCAGGCGATCACTTGGGAGGCCAGCCCTTGGGAGGTCAACTGGCAGCAGTGCTGTTCACTGCTTGAAGGAGGGACTAGAGGCAGGGAGACCAGGTAGAAGCTACACTAGTGCAGGCACAAGACAAGCAGAGAGCAAACCAGGGTTGTGAAAAGGAAATGCAGGCATAGGATGAAAAAGGCCTCTCAAGGAACTGATGACAAGTTAGAATGAGGGCCAAAGAAAGTAAATTAAAAATAACCCCAAATGTTCTAATTTTTAGAAGAGTCAAGCTTACGTATTTAGGAGTGAAGTATCATCACGTCTGCCACTAAGTTAGTACCAGGCATAACTCAGGAGGAAATATATTTACACACAGATATAAACATACAGATAAGGCAAATATGGCAGAATGTTAACAACTGCTGACTCATAATGGTTGGAAATTAGCAATTACTGGCTTGATCTTTCAACATTTTGGTATAGTCAATATTTTTTCCTATTAAAAAGTTGAGTCCTGGGTTCAGAACCAAAAACATAAAAGTTGGGGAACATTTTTTTTCCCCAAGATGGAGTCTTGCTCTGTCACCCAGGCTGGAGTGCAGTGGCACGATCTCGGCTCACTGAAACCTCCACCTCCCACGTTCAAAGAAT